GACCCAGGAGGCGGTGCTCACCCGGATGCCCTGCAGCACCCGGACCCGCTCCTCCTCGTCCATTCCGAAGGACACCCTGCGGCCCTCGCTGCTCTCGGTGCTCCCCATGGCAGGAGGCGGGCAAACAGGCAGGTAGGCAAGCGGGCGAACACGCGACCCAGCTCCAGAGCAACCAGGCAGACGCCGCACCGAGTACCTCCCTGACTCTGGCGGCCGCGACAAGAGCAACAAAACCCCGTTCTATTGGTCGGCGCCAGAAGCTTGGCCAATCAGGTTGCTCAAAGCCGCGGTGTCTTTTGGGAGTTGCAGTGCACGGTCAGGGACTGCGCTACGGAAAGCAGGGAGGAGATGGGGGCGTGACGGTGTGAACCTGGAGCTGGTGTTGGACAGAGGCAGAGCGCGCGGGTCCCGGCAACAGGGCTGGGAATGGCCGGCACTTGCTTGCGAAGGTCACCCTTGAAGCAGAGCCAGTGGCCATGATTGGAGGCTAGAGGACCACCGGGAGGCGGAGGGGTCACCCAGAGGCGAGCCTCAGCGGCAGATTGAGCAACATCCCCTGAGCGCCAGGCAGACACTGACCTCTCCCCATTGATACCATGACCAAGACTACGTCCTGCCTTCCTGAGGTGTGCAGTGCCATGAGGAAACAAAGCAGGAACAGGTAAGTACACTTACCGTGACAAACGCGGAGCAGCATCCTAGTGCCGTGAGAAGTTAAAAGCAGGAGGGCTCTTTTAATTTCTTTTCTGAAGAAGAAGCGTTTGAATGGAGACTTAAGGATGAGTGGGAGTTACCCAGAAGGTGGGGCAAGGACTTTCTTGGGGACCAGCAACTGCAAAGGTCCTGAGACAAGAACATGAACGAGGGACCATCCCATGGCTGGAAAATAAGGGAACAGAGGAGCCAGGGGCAATGAGGTTAGAGAAGCAGGAAGGGCGCAGGGTCTGATTAGATGGGGCCAGAGTTTGGGTTTTTAGTCTAAATGCGTAGCAACGTCAGTGAATGGTCCTAAGCGCTTAGAGGACTTTGTTCAAAGAGCATACATTGTGCCATGCTTCGGGGTGCAGGGTACTAAACATTGCGTTCATGCTTCTTGCAGAGGACCATAGTGTAATGGAGGATGCATGTGACTGCTCTTCACAACCACAGCTACCTTGAACTGAAGCCCCTTTCTGTTCTTCCAAGTTGCTGGGTAGCTTTAATTTGCCAAAGTGAGCACCAAGCTGAATTTTTGAATCTGGGGCTGGGAAGCACTGAATTGCTCTATAAAATGGCAAGAAATATTTGGAGCTATTTTGGCAAACTGGAAAGAAAGGTGTGAGGAGGAAGAGAGAGAGGGAGTGAAAGAGACCAGTGAGATACCCTAAGACCAAATAGCTCAGGGTGACTGTGCTGAGTGAGCAATTCCCGAGGTCAGGTGGCCAGAAAACCTTAAGAACCAAGATATCAGTTGGTTTCATTCAGAAAATTATTAATTTGCGAATCTCTCTCCATCTATTTCTTCCTTGTAAGCCAAGCCTATGTGGAAAATTCCAGTGTAAGTGATTTACTGAGAGTGCTCAAGAGAAGGGAGGTAAGGGAAGCAGGACAAGGTGAGAGGGAAAAACTAGGTGAAGAGCTCGCCCCATCTGGTCCTGCGCTTTCCTTTGTTAAAAGTTTTTGATTACTGATTCAATCTTCTTAATCATTATGCTGTTCAGACTTCCTGTGTCTTTATGTCAGTTTTGTTTGGTTGGCTGGGTTTTTTTTGATTTGCTTTTTGTATGGGGGATCAAATTTAGGACCTTGCACTTACAGGGCAGGTAGTGGCACCAATGAGCTAAATCCCTGGCCCATGACTCAGTTTTGATAGGTTATATCTTTCTGATCAGTTATCCATTTCTTCTAAGTTACCCCCTTTGCTATTAAATAATTGTTCACAGAAGTCTACTATGACTCTATTTCTGTGGTATCATTTGTAATGTCTCTGCCTTCATTTATAATTTTATCTAGTTGAATTATTTCTCTCTCTCTCTCTCTCTCTCTCATTATTTTAGCTAATTTTGTCAAATCCATTGATCTTTTCAAAAGCCCAACTCTTAGTTTTGTTTTGTTTTTAGTTTTGAGACAGGGTCTTACTATGTAGTTTAGTCTGGCCTTGAGCTCACTATTTAGCCCAGGCTGGCGAGGAACTCTCAGCAATCCTCCTGCCTCTGCCTCCCAAGTGCTGGGATTACAAGCATGCACCACTATGCCTGGCTTCACCTTTTCAATTGTCTTTCTAGTTCTCTTTCAATTATCTCTACTCTCATCTTTATTACTTCTTTCCTACTGCTCCCTTTAGGCTTTGTTTATTCTTCTTTTTCTAATTCCTTGAGGTTATAAAGTCAAAGTTAGGTTGTAGTTGTAAGTTTATTTATTTGAAATCATGTGTGTGTTTGTGTGTAATACAGAGAATGAAACCCAGGACTTTACACATGCCAGCAAAGTACTCTATCACTCAGCCCTAAAATTCTCTATTCTCAGCCCTAAAATTCTTTTTTAATTTGGGTATTTTTGGTATAAATTTCTCCCTTAAAATGATTTTGCTCTACCCTTTAAGGTGTGGTTGGTTTTTTTTTCCCTCAAGAAACTATTTTATTGGGCAAATGCAATGAACAGATACTTCACAGAGGAAGAAAGACAAATGGCCAACAAATATATGAAAATATTCAACATCTCTGGTCATTAGAGAAATGCAAATTTAAACAATGCTAAGATTCCTTATTACTCCAGAAAGAATGGCAATCATCAAGAAATCAAAACATAACAAATAACAGTGCGGCTGTGGTGAAAAATGTACCCTCCTGCACTGTTGGTGGTAATGTAAACTAGTACGACCATGATGAAATCAATATGGAGATTTCTCAAAACTAGAAATTCCGTATGACTTAGCTTCTTCCTTCTAGTTATCTTCCCCAAAGTGTTTAAGACATGATACTATAGCAATACTGTACATGCACACCAGTGTTTAGAGCAGCACAATTTATAATAGCTAAATTCTGGAAGCAGCCTGTATACCCATCAACAGACAGATGGATACAGAAAATGTGACATCTATACATAGTGGAATACTACTCAGCTATAAAGAAGGACAAATATGAGACATTGTAGGAAAATAGATGTACTTACAAAATATGTTGAGTGAAATAAATGAGATACACAGCTTAAATACCATACAGTATCTCTCATTTGAGTAAGGCAAAGTACAAAGCTAAGAGAAAAATAAAGGAAAAATAGAGGGAGACAAGGGGATGGATGTTTTACAGATGGGAAAGTGTTCAAGAGACTAAAGATGGGAGATGGAGGGGAAAGGGAAGAGGAAATAAGTAGGATAAAAGTACTCTATATACAAGAACCTGAAAACTTCAATAAATGTAAACATTATATGCCATAAACATGAACTAAGATTAATAACAGCAACAAGAATGAAATGGGGAAAGGGGAATTAGAGGCAAGAGGGATGGAGAGGGAAAGGAATTTAAAAAAGAAACAAGTTGTATAATGTACATGTACCCACTCCCTAAGATAATTGTAAACTGCATGTACTGCAAATGTGTACTAATAAAAACAAATAAAATTAAATTTAAAAACTATTTCATTTCTCTTTTGATTTCCTCCATGGTCCGTGGTATAATTTAATTTCCACACATTTGTGAATTTTCCAAAATATCTCCTATTATTAATGGCTGCTGTCACACTATCTGCCATATTTTGAATCTTAAATATCCTGCAGTGGTTCATGGGTTGGAAGCTTGGTCCCCAGGGAGATGCTATTAGGTGATGATGGATCCTTTAGGAAGGAGGGCCTAAAGAGAGGTGGTGGGTCATCGAGGATGGTCCTTAAGTAGAAGGGACCCCATCACCTTCCTCTTCTCTTTGGCTTCCTGGCCATGAAGTGAGCAGTTTTGCTCTGCCCTGAACTCCTCACTATGATGTACGCTTTGCCACTGGCCTAAATGCCATGAGCCCACCCAGCTTTGGGCCATAATTTCCAAAACAGTGATGCAACATACACCTTTTGTCTTTATAAATTAATGATATCATGTATTTGTTATGGTGGCAGAAAACTCACACACCATCAGAAAAAGAAATTATGAAAATGGTGCCATTTTCTTTTTTTTTTTTTTTCAGCTTTAATTGAGTTTATTGGTACATTTTAGGGATACAGTACAGTTACATTCATTGTTGGGATCTTGTCTTGGTTCTCATTTTTCCCCTTGTCCCTGCCCTCCCTTCACCCCCTCCTCCCATCCCCATCTGCCATTTTTTTTAAAAACTTAAAAGAATCACTTTAAAAAGAGGCATTTCTAAAAAGTACTTAGGAATAAATTTAATGAAGGAAGTGAAAGATTTGTACACTAAAAACTATAAGATTTTATGAAGGATATGATAAAAGACATAAATGATGAAATTAGTTCCCTGTTCATGGATTGGAAGAATAATTTTGTTAGTGTCCATACTACCCAAAGCTATCTACCAGTACAATCAATTAAAATCCCATTGGTGTTTTTCACAGAAATAGAAAAAAAAATTCACAGTAGCAAAGCAATCTTGAAAAAGGAATAAAGCTGGAGATAGCACACTCCCTGATTTCAAACTATATTACAAAGCCGTTGTAAACAAAACACAATACTGACATTCAAAGCAAAACAAGACAAAACAACATGTAATTTGGCTAGACCTGGTGGCACACACGTATAATCCCAGCTCTTTGGGAAACTGAGGCAGGAGGACCACAAGTTTGAGCCTAGCTGGGCAACTTAGCAATTTGGTGAAAACTTGTCTCAAATTTTTTAAAAGGGGCTATAGATGTAGCTCAGTGGAAAAGCCCTGGATTCAATCCCCAATAACACACATGGTACATAGACTAATAGAACAAAAGAGAAATTCCAGAAATAAATCCATGTATATGTCATCATCTAATCTTTTGTTTGTTTGTTTTTTGAAACCGGGTCTCACTATGTAGTTGAGACTGGCCTGGAACTCACTATGTCATCCAGGCTGGTCTCAAACTCACAGCAATCCTCCTGCCTCAGCCTCCCGAGTGCTGGGATTACAGGTGTGCACCACAGCACCCAGCAGTCACCATCTAATCTTTGACAAGTCACACAATAGGAAAAGTGAAGTCTCTTCGATAAATGGAGTTGGGAAGACTGTATATCTGCATACAAAAGAATGTGCTTGAATCC